GCCCAATCATGTACTACCAGTAATACCTTTGAATATTGAAGATTAACAGCCAAAAAGCAGTGACAAACAAACAAAAACAAGGAGCAAACTAACAAGAAACAACACAACACGAGCAACAACGCACTACTACTACTAAATTTGAACTTAAGAAGTCACATGTCACAACTAGCAGCCCGGGGACGACTTGCCAATTCTTTTTGTGCACGGAGTTCACCGGTGAATCACTGAACATTGAGTGATCCAGCGCACCACCACATTATGATGCAACATTTAGCAGCTTGGCAAGCTTGTCATCATTCATTACATTATTCGTCCCATTGACAAGCCGAGGCAAGACAATAACTGGCACAGAGCCTGACTCTCATGCCCCTGTCTTGGTAGACTTGTCAGGCGTCTCCCCAATGGCAATTGAAACTGTCCGGTTGCCCACACAATCCTTGCAGAATGAATATTTCTGTACAGCATGTGAGCAGACATGTTTGCAATTGGGAGTATGTAAACGTGCGCCACTTGGTGTGACACACAAATATGTCAGTGCATCAAAACAAATTTTGGCCGTGTCAGAGCTTCTGACACAGTCTAAAGTCTGCTGGCAAGGAGTGCAGTGCAGGCACCAGGTCGGCTTACGGCGCCACTTGCCAAGCATACGATAAATGAAATATGAGCTTGTGTAGCACAGATGTAGAGCAAGGCGCGCAGGACCGCAATGTCTACCATGAAGTCAGACATCATCATTGACACCATCACATGGGCAAAGTCTGATTCACTTATCCCTGAAGTCCTGGTGTGTGTGTGTGTTCTTGCATTGCTGCTTGCTGCTGTTCCTGGAGTCTTTCCTGTTACTGCTGTTGTTCGCGTATCGCTGAAGTCTTTCCCGGTCGGTGCTATTTTGTACCTGCTTGCTGATCACAAGCGCCGTGGGCTGCCACCTACCAGGCTGTGATTGAACCACTCGCCACTCATGACATGAATCGAGCCAGGTCACTGCTACCCACTAGCCACCACAATGCTGCAAACTGCACATGACATGCCACATCAACCAATCAACACACAATTCAATGCAAGGCTGACAATCAGGCACAGACTGACAAGCATGCAGCAAGTTTGGACATTGGACACCGACCAATCTTTAATAAATTAATGAAAATACTATCAGCTTTGTCAGGCCTGACACTCCTCACTCACAAAAGGTTTGTTATTGAATTATTGCCCAAACAATTGTTTAAATTAAATTGTTCATTTTGTTGGCCAAAGTAAGGACATTGGCTGGCAGCTGTCAAGCGGCAGCAAATGCGGGGACCGCGTGAAAGCGAACAGAAGAAAAAGAGTTCGCCACATGGCTGCAGAAGGAGTATGAGTTCAGCCCTGGCTCTGCGAACGACTATGTTTGGTCTCTTGAAGGCAAGGAGAAACAGAGCAGCAAGAGGAAAGTGGCGAAACAGGAATACATTGAAAATCATTGGGGGCCAGGCACGTCCAGAGATAGATGTAGATGACTTTAATATACTTAATACTAGTCGCCGAAGAATTGCGGTCAGATCGTACACAACTTTAGGTCAGATTCAGATCGCATACAATTCAAGTTAGTCTCCGCCAATTAGAGTCAGATCGTATGCAATGACAATACGTTGCAACTTTAGTCTCCGCAGAATTACGGTCAGATCGTATACAACTTTAGTCTCCGCAGAATTACGGTCACATCGTATGCAACTTTAGGCTCCGCAGAATTACAGTCAGATCGTATACAACTTTAGTCTCCGCAGAATTACGGTCAGATCGTATGCAACTTTAGTCTCCGCAAAATTACTGTCAGATCGTATACAACTTTAGTCTCCGCAGAATTACGGTCGGGTCGTATACAACTTTAGTCTCCGCAGAATTACGGTCAGATCGTACGAAACTTTAGTCTCCGCAGAATTACGGTCGGATCGTGTACAACTTTAGTCTCCGCAGAGTACCGGTCGGATCGTATACAACTCTAGTCTCCGCAGAATGACGGTCAGATCGTGTGACAACTTTAGTCTCCGCAGAAATACGGTCAGATGGTACACAACTTTAGTCTCCGCAGAAATACGGTCAGATGGTACACAACTTTAGTCTCCGCAGAATTACGGTCAGGTTGTACACAACTTTTAGTCTCCGCAGAATTACAGTCAGATCGTATACAACTTTAGTCTCCGTAGAATTACGGTCAGATCGTACACAACTTTAGTCTCTGCAGAATTACGGTCAGATCGTATACAACTTTAGAAATTCAGTCTCCGCAGAATAACGGTCAGATCGTATACAACTTTAGTGTCCGCAGAATTGCGGTCAGATTCCAGAACCACCTCAAACTTAATGATTAGTCTCCGTCATAAGGAAAAACCCGTAGTACTGTAGTTCTGTGGAGACCTGACTGACAGTCTAATTGTGCCGTAATCAGAGTACTGAGTAGTAGTTAGTTCTCTACAGTACTACAGAGACAGAATTTACCTGACCCACAATTAATTAGAAGTTAAGTCTATTACTACACTAGCCGTTAAAGTTTTTGCGGCAATGCAATTTGCCTGACAATCTGACCGTAATATTATAGAGACAACATTTACCTGACAATCTGACTGTGCGCAGAGACGACTCTAATATAATACTGACAATCTGATTGTGACATACTATTTGTTTGTCCTGCGGAGACTAAATTTGCCTGACATTATATTACATTATAATGAGGAACCGTAAAGTTCTGTGGAGACTGACTAGATTTGACTGACAGTCTGGACATAATACATAAGTCTGGAGGCTACCTGACATCTGACCGTAAAGTTCAGTGGAGACTACGTGCGCCTACGATTCTGCCTGCGGAGGCAAAATTACATTTGCATGACCATGATTAAAACAAAACACTTACAAAGGAGACAAACAATTAATTGCCTGACAATCTGCTTTCTACGGAGACAAGTGTTGCCTGACTAACCACTAGTAAAGTTCCAGGAATCGGTCAGCCAAAAAGGCAGGACTCGCGCAATTTACTTACTTTCTATGGATAGATTCATACATTACAAGATTTGTCTCTTAAATTTTAAAGTACCAGATTGTACGGCAAATTAATCTCCGGCTCAACAGTGACAGTTCACAGGAATCAGCCAATGTAGAGGCTACACTATTAGTAATAATATGTTACTCCGCAGGCAGAACTCAGCCACTGTCACAGGCATATGAATGGTATGGTTGTGGAAATTAACCTGGGGAGTCACAGAATTTTCAGAGTTCCTGCCTAGTGATGTAGGAACATTGATTGTGATAGCTCCTCATAGGTTGCAAGTTAGGCTTGCTGATCAGTATAATTATGTTACACCCACTCACCCGGAGGTTTACTTGCATGTATTGCATTAAATTAGTGAGTGAATGGTCAAGGAAGTTAGTTAATTAGACTGACATTGGTCAATCAATTTTAGTCTGTCAGTGGGATGTAGCTGTCTGTGCTTGCAACAATTTCAGTAGATCACTAGATTGTAAACAGTAGTTATGTTTTGGCAACATGTAATTTACTGTAAATGTAGCCTACACAGTCACACAGAATCCGCAGTGCCTATTGTCATTCTCAGAAAGTCAGCTTAATAACAAACAAACAACCGTGCAACAAACGTCAATTGACAACAGCAACAACAGCAACAACAGCAAGCACGAATAATAAGATACGAACAAGAACGAAAGCCAGAAGCCCGACAAAATCCGACAAAAACCGACAGAATCAGTCAAAAAACGTCAAAAGCGCAAAACTGGCCCAAGATGACAAAGTCTTTAGCAATCTGTTCCCTTACGACCTGTTCCCCAAACAAATTTTGAGGAGCAATGCTCTTCGCGTGCTGCTTGTGTGCTTGAAACTTGTTATTTCAGCTGCGGGAACGCACTTTGTGTAGCACTTTGTGTAGCACTTTGTGTAGCACTTTCAGCTGCGGGCACAGATTCCGTACTATACTTTCGCACTTGAGAACTGCTATTCTTCAGCCGGAGCTGGCGCGGACCAGGGGGGAATCGAACCCGCGACGCCGCAACGGTGAAAGCAGGCGTGCAAACCGCTTCGACCACGCACGCTCTCCGCAGAGGGTTCGCCGAGACCAAGGCAAATTTGCACGGCGCCACAGCAAGAGCGCTTCGACACACACGATCTCCGCAGAGGGTTCGCCGAGACCAAAACACATTTTCGCGGCGTCACAGCGAGAGCGTTTCAACACGCACGCTCTCCGCAGAGGGTTCGCTGCGGTCAAGACATTTCGCACGGTGTTACAGCGAGAGCTCTTCGACACGCGCGATCTCCGCCGAGGTTGCGTTGCGTAAGCTCCCGTCGGGCCTACGCCCGCCAGAAAAAGAAGAAGAATTAAGACTCGAGAGTTGGTTGTACAGACGAAAAGTTAGCTTGTGTTTAAGATAGCGAAGTAACATCCAAAAAGTTAGCTTGTGCTTTTAGGATAATGAGCACCCGAAAGGCTGAAATGAGCAGTTGGCTGATGAAGTAACTATCGAAAAGTTGGCATGAAAAGTTGGCAGGTGACATAACCCTCGAAAAGTTGGCAGGCGAAGTTGACATGAGAAGTTAGCACGTGAAATAACTCTCAAAAAGTTGGCACGAGAAGTTGGCCAGGGACGAAACGTTGGCAGGTGGAATAACTGCTCGGCAAGTTGGCATGAGAAGTTGCCAGGTGAAGTTCGCAGCCGGTTTTAAAAGAAGAACCCTTTGCAATGCTTCCAGGAAAAACAGTCTGAGTTGCATGCGCGTGGGCACGTTGCGTGACACGCATCCATGGTGAAGCACACGTGTTGCGCAACAAAAGGAAGCCGTCACCACGACAGCCTGTGCTGCAGCAAAGATCTCCTGGGCTCCGGGCACCGAACCAGTCCCGCCAAAGCCCTTCAACCAAAAACTCGCACGGCCGCGGCGCGCTTCGGCTTGGTGGCCAGCGCTGTTTTTTGACAAGCTGGAAGTCGGGAGCCCTGGCCTGCACGTAGAGGGAGTGGATCCTTCACAGCACTTGGATTCCCCCTCTCCAATGAGGTATTGCCGTACTGCTGAAGCAGGCGAAGGAATTCAGGAAATTCTTGAGCAACTTCCGTATCGAGGGATGTCGCGCATGAACGCAGTTCCGCAGCACGAAATTCGTTTGCGCTCCGCGCAGGGCGGCGGCCTTGAGCAACGCCGGCTCCAACTGGTCGAGGGCGCTGCCGGCGAAGGCCACCAGCGTGGAGTTGAATTGCCGAACGCGATCGCCCTTGATCTCCACTGCTACCCGGTTGACTCGCTCCGGCAAAATGCCCACGGTAGCGATAGAGTCCAGCAAGTCTCGCACATCCCCGGCATTGACTCCGAGCCCGTCCCGGTTTGAAGGGTGAACCCCGAGGTGCTCAAGGTTGGAGGACTGCAAGGCACCCGCGCACCTGCGAAACCAACTTCTCGCCATCTTTGCCCTTTGCAAGCATGGACTCCACTTGGCGCCGCGCAGCCATGGACACCAACGTCAGTGCAAGCGAGCGCAAGTCCGCGCAGCAAGCGCAAACTAATCTCACAAAAAGTGGCTCGAGCACACGACGCGCAGCAAGCTGGATACACTTTGCAGCATGCTGATCTGCCACTGACACGTGCGAGCAATGCCCTGCGCGACGCGCACATGTGCAACGATGCAAAGACCATTCAAAAGCAGCGCGCAAGGTATATGGGCAAGTGAGGTTGGACATACTAGGTCTGCTAAGTGTGTTACACAAGTTCATTGGCCAGAGTTAGCCCGCGTAAGGAAGTGGAGATATGATTAGATACATGGCAGGTAAGTACTACGTACAACACATGTGTACAAGCCATTGTAAAGAAGCACACTCACTTTCTAAAACACAAAAATAGGCGTCCTCACGTGGCAAAGATACAACCTCTATTAAAGAACTTGCAAATTAAATTGTCATACATACTACGTTCTTCTCTTCGCTAAACACATAGTGAAAGGCACAGACACACACACAGACACAAACACAAAGACGCACAGACACACACACAGACACACTCACCCACACAAGCGCGCCCCCGCGCGGGCGCCTATGCACCAACCCACGCACACACACGCGCGAGAGCGCGCGGGCAAAAGCGTGCGCAGGCAAAAGCAAGCAAGCCCAAGCTTCCACGCGCGCACGCCTTGCACATGCGTGCACGCACATGCGCACGTGTGTGAGCACGCAGGCACAGGAGCACGCGCACGCGCAGGCGCCCACCCACCCACCCACCCACCCACCCACCCACCCACCCACCCGCCCGCCCGCCCGCCCCCCACCCGCACGCACGAACACGCACGCCTTGCACACGCGTGCACGCACGCACGCGCAAACAGACGCACTTGCGCTCTCTCAGCCTCATCGTAAACGACGATTCGGTCTGGAAGGGCCAAGCGTGCCACGCTCCCCGGTTGCTTTTTGCCCGAAAGCCTCCAGGTTGTCCACGCCCAGAACTAAGAAATTCCGCTGGCCTAGCGCCAAGACAGTCAAGGCTTGAGACTCGGCCCGCCTCAGCCTGCCTCTGCTGAATGCAAGTTGAATTTGCAGAAGACGCAGCCCAATGAACATGCTTCTCTGGACCTAGAGTCCAGCTCCGAGCTTTCTTTTAGGTCTTTCAACAATGTTGCAAATCTTTATGGTGTTCAATCGCGAAATGATATTGCAAAGCTCAAGTTGGGCTTGGGTACCAATGCTTACGCGTACAAGCCAAAGGCCTGCTCTTTCAGGGCTCAGCGTTGGATCTCTTTTGACGGGTCACTCTACATTCCGGCCAACATTGCACGAGCTCAGTTGGACAGAATTTTGTAAAGAGGAGCAAGTCACTGATAAAAGTGAAGCAACAATCCATTGCCACGGCAGTCTTGCCTCCAATCTTTTCCTCCTCTCGGAAGGCCGACACGGCAGCGCTGTCCCCAAGGCGCTGCGCCAAGCGGCAGGACTTGAGGATCTCGGGCCGCCCCAACCTTAGAGTTACGCCCCAACCAATCTGGGGTCGTGCCGCTTTGCAACAAGCGGGGCCTTGGCAATGTGTTTCGTGGAACGCTCCACAGTACTGTTGAAGCCGGGTTTCGTGGTAGGTGCGCTGCTTTAGACTTGATGTAGGGGAACGCTCGGCTTCGGGCAGAACGCTGGATTTGCGGCAGGCGCGGGACTTTGGACCGACTTGCTGCTGGGTTTTGTGGCAAGCGCGGCGCTTTGGCGCGGAGCGGCCGGCTTTGGGCCTGCTGGGCGGGAAGAGGTCGTCTTCGGGCCTGCCACGAAATCCAGACCCACGCGTTGCAGCCGTTGACTGGCCTTGCCACCTGCGTGTTGCCAAGGCCGCGGTCTCTGTGAATTGGCACAAGTTGACCCATTCATTCTCGCTCCAAACGCGGAAGCAGCTTCTCTTCCTTGCGGTGGCTTGCGCAACTCAAGCTTGTTTACGCGAAACAACCACCCCGGCCAGCGCAAGCCGCCGCCCAAGAACGTCTTCTCGCACAAAACGCAACACATAGATTCAAATGCCGCATCGAGAAGAAACCTACCCAGGAAAACCAGAAAGCAGACAACAAGAAAGCAAACTCTGACGAGCACTTGGAATTCTTTCCAAGTCCTCAATCACGCAACAACCGCCAGAAAAGCATCCTAGAAACCTTCGAAACATCCATCACAGACGCAATTTTACCCGTCAATCCGCCGAGAGGGGAGGCGCACGGGAAGGGTCATAAAACATAGTTCCTTTTTTTTAAATCTTACACGTGCTTTAGACTGTTACGTTTTTATTCTTACATCATAACATATCCTTCCTTTTTAGCATAGTCTCATACGTTTTCTTTGCCATAACGATAGTTATTACCGTCATCACCATCACCATCAACATGATCCTCATCTCTTTTGCTGCTATGATAACGGTGAAATGATGATAATTATGAGCATCATGCTGGCGATGAAAAGGATGCTATGCACAAGTTTTAACGGCGCTGTGGCGATGAAAAGGATGTTCTGACAATAGTTACCATCGTCATGACGACAGTTACGGACTGATGGTAGTGCAAAGGATGCTACGATGATAGCTATCATCATTATGACGATGGTTGTCATCATCATGATTTATGATGGACCGATGCTAATGCTAAGGGTGCGATGATGATAGCCATCATCATCATGATGGTTGTGCAAAGTACGAGGTGGTAGTTTTTTACACCCATCGTGATAATCACAATCATCTCATGACCATAGTCACGATCATCGTCTCTTGATCTTAAATATTTATCACATTTCTGATACGTATTATTATACAATGGTGCATGTATTCTTATATTATAGAGTTATCTATGTAAATTTTCTGATATATGCATTTCAGATTTGACGTTAGACATTGATGGTAGTGCTAAGGATGCGATGATGTTTGTCGCGGTCATCATCTCTTGTTTTCTGATATTGTTTTCTGCTATTTCTATATTTCAGAACTGACTTTGGACACGGATGTGCTAAGGGTCCTACGATGATAGTTATTAGCGTCACGATGGTAATACGAAGGGTGCTATGATAGACATCATCATCCTGACGGTAATGCAAAATTATCTGGTCATCATCTCTCACGGTCATCATCCCTTGACTGATAGTAATGCTAAGGGTGCGACAACAATAATAACATGGTCATGACCATTACTGCAATGCAAACAATGCCACGACGATGCTTACCATTCCCGCGACAACAGTTATCATGTTCATGAAGGTCCTGCAGAGGATGCTATGATGATAGTTGTCATCGTCATGATGGTGTCATGATCATCATCTCTTGGTTTTCTGATTCTTCTTCTTATTCTTCTATTTTTTGTTTCAGAACTGGCGTTAGACCCCGGTGGTAATGCTAAGACTGCTATGGTGATAGTTAGCATCATCACAATGGTAGTGCAAAGGGTGCGAGGATGGAAGTTATCATCATCCTGATGGTAATGCAACGGATGCTTCGCAGTTATCAATGTATCAACATCATGGCGGTCATCGTCAGCTCTCATGATCAGTACTTCTTGGCTGATGGTAACACTGAGGGTGCGATGATGATAGTTACCATGACCGTGGTGGTGTACTGCTGGTAATGTTAAGGATGCTATGACGATAGTTATCATGATCATGGTGCTAGTGCAAAAGATGCTATGATGATAGTTATCATCATCATGCTGGTGTCGTGATCATCATCTCTTGCTTTTGTTGCGTGACGGACTGCTGGTACTGCTAAGGATGTTATGATGATAGCTATCATGTTCTTGATGGCGCTGCAGAGGGTGCTATGATGACAGCTGTCATCGTCGTGATGGTGTCATGACCATCATCAATTGGTTTTCATTCTCTTTCTCTTATTCTTATATATACGTTTCAGAACTGACGTTTGACTCCGATGGTAATGCTAGGGGTGCTATGATGATAGCTAGCATCATCGATGGTAATGCAATGGATGCTATGATGATAGTTACCATCATCTGACGGCGCTGCAAAGTTATCATCATCGCGGTGGTTACGCAAAGGGTGCGAGGATGATAGGTATCATCATCCTGATGGTGCTGCAAAGGGTGCTATGGTGACAGTTGCCAACATCATGGCGGTCATCATCAGCTCTTGACTTTAACTGATGGTAGCGCCAAAGGTGCGATGATGATAGTTATCATGATCGTGATGGTGGATAGCTGGTAATGCTAAGGTTGCTATGACGATAATTATCATGATCATGATGGTACTGCAAAGGATGCCATGATGGTAGTTATCATCGTCGTGCTGGTGTCGTGGTTATCATCTCTTGCTTTTCTTGCTTGACAAAACTGCTGGTACTGCTAAGGAGGCCATGATGATATTTTTCATTTTCATGATGATACTGCAGGGGATGCTATGACGATAGTTGTCATCGTCGTGATGGTGTCATGATCATCATCACTTGGTTTTCATTTTCCTTGTGCTTACATATACGTTTCAGAACTGACGTTAGACCCCGATGGCAATGCTAAGGATGCTATGATGATAGATATCATCACCGCAATGGTAATGCAAACTATCATCATCGCACCCTTAGCACTACCGTCAGTCAAGAAATACTGATCATGAGAGCTGATGACCACCATGATGATGATAACTGTCATCACAGGATGCTTTCAGGATGATGATAACAATCGTCCTCGCACCCTTTGCGCAACCATCGTGATCACGATAGCTTTGCAGCATCACAAAACCCGTTGGGCGCTTGCAGCGCAGCGTGCGTGCAGCTCAGCACGTTGCAGCGGGTCGGCGGCACAGGGCGGCAGCCCTTCGATCCGGCCGCGGCCAACTGGCCGAACGGCTGTGTCGGATTACCCCCTTGGTCCTTCGGAGCAAGGCTCTAGAGCGAAGCTTTATAGGGCTGCCGCAACGTGCTGCCGACCCTGTGCATGCCGAGGAAGCGGCCGGGGTCCGTGAAAAGGAAAGTGATGAGCATCACCTGCATCATCTGCGTCTGGCGGGTGCGTTTTTGGGCTTGTTTTTGGGTCCGGTTCTGGGTCTGCAGCCTTGCGCTTGTGAGTCTGCAGGCTTGCCCTGGTGATGCAGGTGATGCTGGTGATGTTGCTGGGAGCTGCCTTCCACACGGTGTCTTGCTGCAGCCTTGAAACACTGAAAAATGCGAAAGTACAAGGTTTGGCCGCAAAACACCGAGAAACACGTTTGGTTTTGACATGCTTTTTGCGTTGCGACTGGCGCGTGCGTGTGTGTGTGTGCGCGTGCAGGCGTGCGTGCGTGCGTGCTTGCGTACGTGCGTGCGTGCGCGCGCGTGAGTGCGGGTGCGCGCGCCCGCACGCACGGCGTGCGCGCGCGCCACGTGTGAGCGTTTGCGCATGTGTGAGCGTGTGTCAGCGTGTGTCAGCGTGTGCGCCTGTGCGTGCGCGTGCGCCTGTGCGTGCGCGTGCGCGCATGTGTGTGTGTGTGTGCGTGTGCGTGTGCGTGTGCGTGTGCGTGTGCGTCTGCGTCTGCGCGTGGGTGTGTGTGTGTATGTGTGTGTGTGTTTCGTGTTCGTGTTCGTGTTCGTGTGTGTGTGTGTGTGTGTGTGTGTGTGTGTGTTTGTGTGTTTGTGTGTTTGTGTGTTTGTGTGTTTGTGTGTTTGTGTGTTTGTGTGTTTGTGTGTTTGTGTGTTTGTGTGTTTGTGTGTTTGTGTGTTTGTGTGTTTGTGTGTTTGTGTGCTTGTGTGTTTGTGGGTTTGTGGGTGTTTGTGTGTTTGTGTGTTTGTGTGTTTGTGTGTTTGTGTGTTTGTGTGTTTGCCAGCGCTTCCCGGCAAGTGGAGTGATTTTTGTTTGTGTGTTTGTGTGTTTGTGTGTTTGTGTGTTTGTGTGTTTGTGTGTTTGTGTGTTTGTGTGTTTGTGTGTTTGTGTGTTTGTGTGTTTGTGTGTTTGTGTGTTTGTGTGTTTGTGTGTTTGTGTATTTGTGTGTTTGTGTGTTTGTGTGTTTGTGTGTTTGTGTGTTTGTGTGTTTGTGTGTTTGTGTGTTTGTGTGTGTGTGTGTGTGTGTGTGTGTGTGTGTGTGTGTGTGTGTGTGTGTGTGTGTGTGTGTGTGTGTGTGTGTGTGTGTGTGTGTGTGTGTGTGTGTGTGTGTGTGTGTGTGTGTGTGTGTGTGTGTGTGTGTGTGTGTGTGTGTGTGTGTGTTTGTGTGTTTGTGTGTTTGTGTGTTTGTGTGTGTTTGTGTGTGTTTGTGTGTGTTTTTGTGTTTGTTCTTGTGCTTGTGCTTGTGCTTGTGTTTGTGTTTGTGTTTGTGTTTGTGTTTGTTTGTGCGCGCGTGCGCGTGCGCGTGCGCGTGCGTGCGTGGGTGATGGAAAGGGATGGAAAATGGATGGGAAAGGTGTAGAAAATGGATGGAAAACTGTGTGTATGTGTGCAAGTAAGGAAGTGTATGTGTGTTACTGTTGTTGTTGTCGCTGCTGCCTTAGCCGTCCTTGCAAGAGCCTTGAAATTGAGCGTGCGGCCAGCAA